TATATATATATATAGAAATAAAATTATTTATAAATGGATAATTGACTATATTTCTCGATCATGATATTTGTTCGTGATGCAAATATACGTTATTTCAGCATTATTTCATACCAGACCACGATGATCGTGACGAGTTTCATGATAATCTCGTTTAGCACCACAAAAAAGTCTACCATCAGCTTGCCGCGAGGTCCTATTTGGCCCGCGAGCACGCCAAAGATAATGCAGAACACAATCATGCCCATTACGTTCGTGCCGTCCTTGTAAACCAAGGCCGGCTCTAGTATGTACTCGCTCTTATTCAAATTGCCGATTACGACCACCTTTTTCTTCACGTAGGAAGTCTGAACCTGTTGGAAGCATGCTTGTACCAGGTTCTCCGGGACCATGTTTCTGAGAACGAAAGATTGCGAGTTTCGGACGTGGATTACGATCGTGGAATTGACAGGTTGTTTTCTTATACCGAATTATATCGAGGATCGCGTCTACAGTGGAAACTTTCGCCTCCTCGGCTTTCACCACCGCCGTGACCGTAGTTTTGATCCGCGGATCACCCGGATGGATCATCAGCACCATCGCGATGCCCACTATGGCGGCGAGAATGGTTGTTACCGAGTAGTATGTTAACGCTCTGATCCCTATCCTTCCTGATCTTTGAACGTCTAGTTGTGCCATTCCTGAAATTAATATATCGCTCGAATGTTAAATTTCAACGGAAACAAGAAATTAGAGAAATTAGAGAATTGCTAGATTAATACGAATAATGTTTGAAATTGAGTTTAACATTTGAAATAAGATTCTTCGATTTTAATATTTATGTAATTAGATATTCACGTAATTAAATTTTGTTTCTCTATTCCTATTGAGATCATTTTCTCGAGATGACATAGATTGTCGACGATTATAATTACCCGAGATTAGCGACGAGATGATGAGTGGCAAGATAAACATCTTCAACATCCGCATAAGGATCTCTCCCGGAAAACTGACGAGAGTTATAGATTGCGGAGTGAGATCGGCCAATCGCCCCAGAAACCCGAGACCTAGACCCACCAAAACTCCAGCGATGGTTAATGCCAGAAGCAAGTTACTTCCCATCCATTCTATCACCTATATTCCCCATAATAAAATTTAATAAGATTTTCTCATTCTCGGACATAATTTTTCTTTTCGCATTTTACAGATTCTAAGAAAATAATTTCAATCTATTTTTATAAAACAATATCTCTCTTTGATTTTCATTGCAAAAACGATCGATTTTAATTGAATGAAATTGAAGGATAGCACTCTTAACATACTATGCACAAGCTCGATTGTAAAAAGCTTACCATCCGTAATCTGTCGAGCACCGTTACTTTACGCTGCGCTTTCACCTCGACCTCTTCCTCGGATGTCATCTTCTCGATATCCTCCTCTGTGCACGATCTGGAAGACATCTCAAGTGATAAGCAGCTCGGATTTCCGATAAAAATATGAGAAATCTTTTACGTGTGGCCTTCCTCCTTGGCCTCCGTCGAGGTTCCGCGAAGAACCGCAACAGCGCCGGAAATACGTTGTCCTAAAGACATCCTTTGAGCTTCAAAAGCACACAGCTTCGAGATTTCGTGAGATGTCTTCCTCCGTAACGCGACGGATATCGGGATAGATCTTGCGAATCTTCATCCCGCGGCCTTCATGACTGTGCTGCATCTTTCCACGGCGTGAATCATCTTGATTTATTCAGATATCAATAACGTCCAATTTTTCTGGATTATCGAGTATGAAAGAAATATGTGTATATTTTTCTCGAATATATATAAAATTATAAAAAATTATTAAAGCGATAATATCATCTACATATAAAATATTAAATAAATAAATAGTTTCGAAGCATTCTTTAATTTTAAAATAGCGAAAGAAAACGATAAAGATAATCGCATCCGCAAAGTTTTAATTTAAAAAATTTACATCGCGTCGTAGGAATGATCATAAAAATCCTTGATCCTCCGTTCTTATCTTCTACTTCGCTTCCTTTTGTTTACGTTCTCCGGAATTAAACTCTGTAAACCGACACTTCTTCTCGCAGATGATTATCGAAGCACGTGCAAATCGTTTGATAGCGCATCGCGACACACGACAATGCTTTCCCGCGGACCACCGGGAACTATCGCGAACACGCGAGAGCCAACACTGGTCCCGAGGAAACGATGACGGGGTAAGACCCCAAAGGAGGTCACACCCGATCTGTTACATTCAGGATCATTGCACCGTTGCGTCGATTGCGGGCGCGAGTGACATCCGCAAGGCTTTTCGCGCGTGCGATCGACTGCCGAGATCGGATAGATATGCCGGTGGGCTTTAGGTATCGCCGCGGATCTGCCTGCAATCAGGCAGATAATGTGCCCCATCCAGGAAGTTGATTAGCTGTGCGCGTCGAGGGAGGCAAAGGGGAGGGTGAGGGAAGCAAAAGGCGCATACCGAAAGGGGGAAAAGGGGGCAGATGGACAGAGATGCGCGATCGGGGAGAAAGAGACCGGTAGATCACAGGAAGAAGGCACTCATCGCGGTGGGTCGCACGGCACCGAATAATAAACTCCGAAGGGAGAAAAATGCCGCTGCTCTATAGTGCATTTTGCAGAAATTATCGATTTGTTTGATTTAGAAAGATCGCCGCTTTTGATGTTGGCGAACATATGGTACGTGGGGAAATAAAGGGGAAGAGAAAGTAAAACGAGAGAGTGAAATAGATCTTGAATGACGTCCGGGCGTCAAGAGTGTTGAATGTTATCACGTAATTCATAAGAGCCTGCATCAGATCCGGATGAGATGTAAAATCGCGGGGTATTATATAGATTCGTACCGAGATACGCGAGCACTGATAGAGAGAGAGAGAGAGAGAGACAACATAAATAATTATATTATTGTGACGTATAATGAATAATAAAATCATATTATTTATAAATAATTAGAAATTTACAGCATTTCTTATGACGTAACAACACTCGTCACATCGATAAGATCTTTTATCAAAATTATTTTATTTCTTCCGAAGCATATTTCGTTTGAAATGAATATTACACAATAATAATATTCATATTCACACACACATAGCTGAAATTTCATAACATCTCCAAATTAACTGTCAAAACTGTTAATTTTTAATTTTTTAAATGGTCAGTTTGTGAGAAAAAGAGACAGTTATGCGGAAATACTTGTGATTGTTTTAGATGCACGTAGGATACGACCATTTATAAGACCCTTTTGTATATCCGTTGGGAAGTAACCTAATTCCTCTAGCAATGACGGCTATGAGTGACTATATATAGATATAACATCGGGTTTACGGTGATAGTATAATACGAGGACAAATCAAATCTCCCCACGATAACGTATTTAACATCTTGTAACTTCCGAAAGAGCGAGCTTCGAGATTAATTAATGATGCGCTTAAAACAAAATCAAGTTACAATTATCCTTGCTCGTGTATTTCATTTTTATATAATTATATTTTATTTTGTATCTATATTATATATTACCCTCTCGCTGCTTGTGTGTGTGTGTGAAATTACTATCGCATATGATGTAAAATCGTATGTTTAATTTAATTATTGTTATACGTTTTGATTTATTCGAGAGATATAGAATTTAAATATCCAATAATTACGTAGAATTAAATGTCTTTCTCATACACACGCACGCATACATACAAACAAACACAGATAGTGTTATTTAATACTAGGCATAGAAAGAGATAGAAAAATATGCTATTATAAATCATAATTATACTTAATGTAAACAAGTACACTTTTTCGTACTTGCTTGAAAATAGTTTTAATAATTTTCGGTTTAACCACATTTCAATAGGTATAATCAATAATTACAATAAATCTCTCTCTCTCTCTCTCTCTCTCTCTCTTTCTCTCTCTTTTAGAAATAAAATTAATCTATTTTATAATCTATATAGAGTATAAATTTTTGTTTTATCAGAGAATTAAATCGTTTATTTATCTGTTATGTTATATAAATAATTTTTTATAATCTACAGTTGTATTATGTTGTAATAATAATACGTCTATAATCAAAGAGATAACAAAAATCAGAAAGTAAACGTGAAAGACATTAAACATTTTTTAATAGCACCACAATATGCGCTACATACATTTATAACAAATATGTAAATATGTTTACGTTGATCGGAATGTAAATACGCGCGAATTCCGCGCGTGACGTAGCATGACGGTCACGTGATCTCCCACGTGCGTCTCACTTCGGTCTTGTCGGTCGGCCGATGTGGTGTGTTTTGCGCGCTCCCGCTTATTGTTAGCTTTACATTCGCGATGGCCATGTACTCGCAACGCGAGAGACATTTTCTCTACAACAGCCTGGCAATTCTGCTGAAGGCTGTGGAGAAACAGCGAACAACAATAGATCTGCGAAACGAAGCATCGATTTTCGGCATCGTCGAACAGGCCGACGCGTATGTAATTTTCAATGTTTTCATTTTCGCTCCGACGTGAAGTTTACGCTTTTTACAAAAAATAATTATTGTATTTTTAAAATTCACGCTTCGTCAATGTGTGAAATATCTTCAACATTATATGAAATATATTATACTGTTGAATAGAGCGTCTTTGTAAATAACGTACGTCAAAATAAAATTAATCAACGATATCTTTTTCTCTTAAAGTAAAGGATCGATACATAATAAATAAATAGTTTTTTTTTTCTTCTTTGTTTTTTGCAGATACATGAACGTCGTAATGAGAGACTGCGTGTTTACGGATCCGCGCGAGGATTCGTTTAAGTTTGAGATGTTCTTCGTGCAGGCGAGAAACATCCGTTGTGTTCATATCCCGCCGAATGTGAGTACACTGAAAACCTCAATTACTCTCCTCGCTCTTGTCTGGTGATTTTTTTTCTCAATGATAATCTGGGGGCGATGTGATTAGCGCGATCGAAACGCGCGTTGCGTTTAGGTTATAAAATGTTGGTGAAAGTTCTTGTTCGATTTCCATATGCAGACAAGTAGATAAGAAAGAATCTGGATACTGAATTCAGAGAGAAATAAGGTTCAGGTATTTTTAGTATCTCAAGGTTGCTCATTCTGACTTTTTGCCGGCAACTGGCTTGCATTGTATTTAACATAAAGCTGCGGAATTATCTAAATATAATATACAATGCTAACGTACATTTGTTTGCCGCGAACAATATATTATTGATGAAATAGTTGCGTTTAGATATGATTAGGGGTTTGGTTCCTTGTCATAGTACTGTCAAGATTGCATGCAGACACGCCCCATATAAACGTGTAATCAGTAAAACAGAAACATTATTCAGTGCGATTGTATATATAAAGTCTTGTCAATACAGTTCCAAAGTATTTAATAAATTCAAAGAATCTGTTAAATCCATTAAAGATAACATGGATGTATTCAAGTTCACCGACTATGATTGCATTGGTTTCGACTTGGATAACACGTTGCTGCGTTACAATATTACAAATCTAGTGCATAGGGAGTATGAGACATTGGCTAGATTCTTGGTGGATGAACGGAGATACAGTGCAAAGCATCTGTTAAAACCGTTGACAGATGATGATTTGGATTTTATGCAAAAGGGATTGTTGTTAGATGCTGAAAGAGGAAACATACTCAGAGTGAGCCCGGATGGTGTTATTCGCAGAGCGTGCCATGGATCACATCTCTTAAGTACAGATCAAATAAAGGAAATATATCCTGGACAAAAATGGGAAGTAACAGACACTTTCTGTAATGATATGCTGGCAACCTGGAATGGTTCTTTGTCTGAGAAAATGAGAAGTCTTCTTGATTATTTCGATACTCCGACAAGTGTCGCGTTTGCACGGGCTGTAGATACGCTTGACGAAGAATATGGATCCTCTTTAAATAAATATAATGTTTGGCCTGATATATTGGACGGATTGATATATATGTTTTCTAAAGACAATTTTCATTCAAGCAAAGGGATTACTGGTGACATTAAGAAAAATCCAGAAAAATATTTGCATAAATGTAGTCCAGATACAATTTCATGGTTGAGAGAAGTAAAGAAAAAGTCCGCTACCTTTCTTCTTACTGGATCATACGTAGATTTTGCAAGCTTTACCGCAAGTTATGCCCTTGGAAAGGATTGGCAATCTCTTTTCGATATTGTAGTATGTTATGCAAGAAAGCCTGGTTTCTTTATTAACAATCGACCATTTTTTACTGTTATAAACAATCATGAAACTTGTTGTTGTGTTACGAGCAAAGATTTAAAGCGAGGTGAAATATATAGCCAAGGAAATTGGAAAGAACTATCAGAATTTCTTGTTGGTGTAACAGGAAAATCTGATCAACGGTGTTTATATATTGGCGATAATGTTATACAAGACATTTATGTACCAAATGTATTTGCACATTGTGATACATTAGCTGTAATGGAGGAACAAATGTCAGAAGGGATGCTTTATCATGGGTTGACTCATCCAGATGAGAATATTTTGAATTCAAAATTTTGGGGATCTTACTTTTGTTTGAAAGATTCGACAGTTAATGTCGATTCTTTGTTTGGGCATATAATAAAAAAACATGCCAAACTCTGTATACCAAAAATCGATTTGGTTACACAGAGACCATTAGAAGAATCTATTCCTTGTTTTGATAAAGATGGAAAGTCTTACTATGGATATTATCCTGCCATACCACTTAGTATATCAGCAATGTAATATATAAATGACAATAACACAATTATGTTATATAAATTGTAGTAATATCATTTTTTCTTTATATAAGAAACTTTATCAATATTTTAAAAACTTCAAGTATTTGTAATATCTTTTTAGAAATAATGATATAATTTAGAACAATAATTGCACTTATATAAAAACATTTTAAAACATTTTGTTTAATGTTGATTATGATATACCTATCTTTGATAGAAATATTCAGAAATAAAAATTAATTATTGTGTTGTGTATTATCATCTAATGAAATTATATATTATAATTTAAGATACGGATTATACCAGCTATCAAGGAACAATTGAAGCAATTAAGCGGTCCATCAAAGGAAATGAAGAATACAAAATATACTTTTAAAAAGAAACGCATTCAGCAAAGGCAACAGGAAGGCCTTGCAGCTGTAGAACAAATTTTAGAGAATAGGGCTGAAACATAAAGTTAATCCACAAAATAAATGATATTTGTGATAAGATTTGATTTAGAGGATTTAAATTATTATGCGTCCTTGAATTTGACTGCTATTAATCACGATACATGTTCATATACATGATTAATTTGATTATATATTATATAATTTAGGATGCAGATATAATCTGACTCTGGATTTACTTTTTTTATTGAATATATTTTTATATTTCAAATTAGCTACAAAGGTTAGCATGGTAATATTTTATACGATTTACAATGATATATTTTTACATTATGTATAAAAATACTGTAAAATATATATTGTAAAAATATGCAACTTTAACACTGTTTCATAATAAATGTCCTATCATTATTCAACATACAGCATAAGAGAAATGCTATTATTATCAAGAGAAATGCTTTAATGAAAATATAATAAAATTTCGTATAAGATTTATATATAAATCATTTATGTGTTATTTTCTTTCAACAGCCATGGCAATGCCCATTCCTCCTCCAATGCACAACGATGCGACACCCTTTTTCTTTCCAGTTCTTTCTAAAATGTGTAACAGGGTGACCAATATTCTTGTTCCTGAAACGCAAAATTTTATGAAATGAGAATTTTGTTGAAGAAAGTTTAATATATATACATAAATTCAATATTAATTCAATGTATACCAGACATGCCGATAGGATGGCCTAGAGCGATAGCACCGCCATTTACATTAACTTTCTCAGGATCTAATCCGAGTTCTTGAACACATGCAATTGCTTGTGCTGCAAAGGCTTCGTTTAGCTCATAAAAATCCACTTCCTCCTTTGACCAATTCGCTTTTTTCAGCTAGAATAAATGTATTTTCAATCATACATACATAATTGTGTCTCATTTTACATTGTATTAGCATAATGTAAAATTAATTCGGAAATAAATATATACTAACGACTAATTTAACAGCTTCAACAGGGCCAATACCCATAATCTGAGGATCAACTCCAATCGTTGCTACTGCAACAATTTTAGCTATCGGTGAAATTCCTTTACTTGCAGCAACTTCTTGAGACATAAGAACTACAGCAGCTGCACCATCATTTATACCAGATGCATTGCCAGCAGTAATTGTGCCATCATTCTAAATCGAATATGATATCAAAAATTTTTTTTTATAAAGTTGTACGGAATTATAGTTATAGAAAATAATATTTACATACCGGTTTAAATGCTGGTCTTAATTTTGCAAGTTTCTCCACAGTCATTCCAAATTTCGGAAATTCATCCTTAGATATAATAATAGATTCTTTTTTACTTGCTATGGTTACTGGAATAATCTCTTTGTCAAAATATCCAGCATTAATAGCAGTCTCTGTCTTCTGCTGAGATTTACTCGCATAGCAATCCTGTGCCTCTCTACTTATTGCATATTTTTCAGCAACATTCTCGGCTGTCAGAAATAAATGATAAAAAGATATATATGATAACATTTGCATAAAATTTTAATTTTTGTAGTAGAAATTATATCCAGTTGTAATATTTTTGTTTTACCTGTGATTGCCATGTGAATATTATAGAAGGCATCTGTTAAACCATCATTCATCATTGTATCAATTAAATTACAATTCCCTATTTTTATACCATTCCTGAGGTAAGTGGCATGCGGTGCTCTGCTCATGCTTTCTTGACCACCAGCCACAATTATATCACTTTCTCCTGATTTTATGGAAGAATAACCATTTATTACAGACCTATAACATATTTACACAATATATCATAGAGTTTTATGTTATTCGAAATAAATTGTATTGCATGATTAAAAAGATGCATATATTATACAACATATTATAAATTGTGCGTACTGTAGGCCAGAGCCACACAACATGTTTAGTTGATAAGCAGGAACATCAATAGGTATGCCAGCATTGACTGCTGCTTGTCTCGCGGGGTTTTGACCTTCTCCTGCAGCAAGTACCTAAACATATGCGTTAACAAATGTATATATATTTTAGATGTATATAAATTTAGAAAAATTTGAAAATATATGCATTCTATTATTTCTAATCTATGCAAATTAGATACCTGTCCCATAATGACTTCAGAAACTTCTGTTCCCTTTAATCCAACTCTTTTCAGACTTTCCTTAATAACAATACTTCCCATTTCTGACGCTGTCAAGGAAGACAAGCACCCACAGAATGATCCTACAAAATAAAAAAGTTGGATTATTATAAAATTTTATATTTAGATTTTACTACATTAATACAAAAATATTTTAGATAAATATTCAAAAATAAGCTGAATTTTATTTCTGTTTTTTGATGCACCTCAATATATACAATATATATATACATTTTTTTCATTATTATTACATTATGTTTTATAAAGTGTTACTGTTATTTTACAATTGTGATATAGTATTTTATGTATGTATATATAATTATATTTTTATATATTGTATGTATACATATATAATTTGAATGAGTTTATAAGACAGTCTTAAATTTTTATTGTTTATATTTGGAATAATTTAAATAGTACAACATATTTTTAAAATTTTGTTTATGTAGTTTAAGTTCTATAATAATTTGTACACTTTGATAACTTGATCGACAAATTACTGCATTTAATTTTACTAGCAAATATTACATATTATTCTTCGTTTGTTACCTATGGGTGTCCTGACAGCCGAGACAATCATGACACTACGATCACTCATTTTTACGAATTGCGAATGAACACCAAACTCTACGAAAAACGCACGAAGACTGCTATCTTTGGACTTTACACTGCTTAATGGAACTTATTCGACTGGCAGCGACTGGTGACGCATATGTCAGGAGCGGAGTTGTGAAAGTATGTCAAAGTGTATACTTGCGTGAAAAAGTACTATATGATTTAAAAATCGAATAAGAATATTTGTCTTATTAGACAGAAATGCGATGATTTACCGAAAATAATTATATTGATAAGAATTAATCTGCACGAAGTATGTTGAACGAAATATATGAATATTTAATTTCTAGTTCTATAGAATAAAAATGTTCCTCTTTCTCTCATATAAGATACACATGCAAAAATACAAAATAAAAAGTCGATTTTTCTCACACTTTTATAGAATATTGTAAATTACTATATAATATAATATAAATTTCGATTATAAAAATTATCTATAAAGAAGATATTTTTTGTAGTAATAGAACATGCTAAATTTAGTAATAAAATAACTTTTCCATAAAAAAAGGAATGAGGCACATGTGTATCTGTTGTAATTAGTTTGAAGATATATATTTATTCATTTATCAAGACCGTGACAAATCAAGATTTTCTGAATAGAGATGAAAAAATACAGACGAAATGCCCTTTGAACACGGAAATTATTTAGAATAGCAATGAGACTACAAAAAATCAGCAGTCATACGTAACGCGATAAGAATATATTTGTGTTACACGTGTATGTAAAGTAAAATACAAATATAAATAAAGATAAGAGGATAAAGGTGAGAGCTCAGAATATCGAACAAAAAATTGACGAAAAAAAAGATAAGATCAGACGATAGCGTTGCAACAATATTGTTATTGAAAAACATTCGCGCGTCATATGTGCATTGTAAGATAAATGTTAGATAGCCACACACATAGATCGTGTTCCGAAATTTAATTGCTAGTAATGGAAATCTATAATATATGTAACGTGAAGTATAGATTTCTAGAACTGGCAGTGAATTTTGAAACACGGTCACACATAACCCTGTACAACTGACAGATGACAGATACCAGACAGCTGATACATGCCTCTGTTATGACTGTGCAGGTGGCGTTGACGCAGCGTACCGGAGCGCCGCGGCGCGGCGACGGCGCGTTTGTTTTTACCCAGCGTGCATTGTGAGACAGTGACTGGTGCTAAGATGGCTGACAACAGGGAGGAGATTTCGGAGCTCGTCGAAAAACGAGGTATTTATCGCCATTTATCGCCATTTATCCGTTGCTATCCCGTCGCGACGCGACGATTCGACATCGTTGAGTCGCGAGTGTTGTCGCGGTGACGCGTCGTCCCCGCTTATAATTGCTACGAGACACGCGACGCTAATCGCCGCAGCTGCACGTCGCCCGCGACCGAGAGGCGCGCGTGGCCCAAGCATGTCGATGAATTATTCGCCAGGAAATTGCTCTCGCGTACCCGAGGAATATGCAAGATTCATCGTATACGATCGTCGAGAAAGTTATCGCGAGACACGCGACGTCTCGGTAACGTCGCGCCATCCATCCGCGACGGCTGTCATTGTCGTCGTTCGTTCGCCCTCGCCGTCGCTGTCCCTTATCAGACGTGACCAAACGCGCCAACGTTTGACAGTGCGCGATCTCGCGATCGGGGTAATACATGAATAATTATCGAGCCCGAAGTCGAAACTGCCAGACTGATTACTCATTAAGGTCACGCATCGACGGCCTTGCAGTTTGCGTCACCGCGATGACTGTCCCTACCCGCGACCGCTTTTAAGAGATTACCGTTATCTGTCTCCGTCTGTCTTTCCTTCTCGTCTCTCGCGATCTCGCTATCGTCCCTCGCGCCTCGTCTCATCCTTACGAAATTAATACCGGCTGATTCGCGTTACACCTACGTTCTCGGATGTGCGCGAATCAGCTCAACGTCGCGGCCTCTCACGCGGCACGTCAGCTGCGGCCCCGCCGTGCCGCAACGTGCTCTCGCCGGCTTCTCGCTCAGTTTCTCATCATACATTTGTCAGCACGTATATATTATGAATCTATATTCTGTACCCTGTTAATAACCTAACTTAACCTAACTCGTTAAACATTTTGTGTATGCACCACACAGTAAATGGTTAATTATTTTTTGACAGATGTACATGTTGTTTGTTTTGACATTGGTGATTTGTACAATTATTTAAATATTATTTTTTTATTCGAATGTGTCGTTACATGTCAAAACACTGGTCACGGCATTTAATTTATTAACGATAGTTAAGAAATATTTTTTAGTTTCAATCATTATCTTTAACGAAGATTAGAATCTTGGATGAGAATTAGTTATAAAATTATTTAACATCACGTGTTAAAGAATAATGATAAAATATTTTTAAACGAATTTTTGTTAAAAAGGAAGTTTACTACAACACACGCTCACAGAATTGAAAAAATAGTTGAAAAGGGTATTAATTTTAGGATACCTAAATAAGATGTCGAAGTAAATGGAACGTCAAGATATCGAATTTCTTAAAAGATATTGAAATAAAGATTCTTGCGTAGATATTGATTGATATTATATTTCTTTATTTTGTACGCTGTAGTAAGCCATCAAATGAGTATTTTGGATATCATATTTACATCACTTTATAGGAATGATATTAAGAGAGGAGGGGATAATGCGGAATTTTTTTCACTATTTATATCATTTTGAATTTTAAAAAAAGCTTTCCAATATCATATCGGACAAAAATCTTTTTAATTGACATATAAACTACATGCATCCATATATTTCCTAGAAAAAAGAAATATATATCTGGATATCTTTCGATATCACGTCAATCGTGTTATTTTAATTTCTGCGAAACTGTATATTAAGATATATATATATTTAATTATTGGTATCTGAATACAATTGAACATAATTGTAGCAAAATATTGGAGCATCTCCAAATAGTATTTACAATTTATATACTCGCATACTGAATATTGACAGTGTCGTTTTGTATATCGTCTTTCCTAGAGATGATATTAAAATATGAGACTTTAATCAAGCAGCTATGCTAAAAACTCTGATTGCATCTAATATATTAAATAAGATAAGCACGTTTTAATTGACAAGTTGAATGTGACATCGCGCGATAATTACTTGATATTTCTAATATAATCTGTTATTATAACATGATTAACTGTAATATATTTTTAATGATGCACATTGCGGCCCGGTCATCGTATACGATTTATAATCTTATTCGTTTCTGAAACGAATATTATCTATATTTTACATCATTCGTTCAGTTTTAATATCTAAATTAAGCGCAAATTCTGAATAACGCCATTTAATTTATAGCAATTATCAGCCGTGTCGAAGATATTGACGGATAAAATTTTAATTTTATCTTGCGTACATAGCGTGTCAGAAGTAATATTTTAAATGCAAACGGATACCTTCGCAGAACGGAGGATATTTGTTTTACTCGATCAATCATACATAAATCATGAAGTAAAATTGTGTAGGGACACACGTTTTTGCTTCGCGTGATCGTAACTTCAATTCCTTTATCACACTGATATCCGCGCCATTTCTAGTATCGATTATATATATATACAATTCGCAGGTTCAGTTCTGTTACATTATTGCAGGATATCAATCAATCAGCGATAATATATAGTTTAACGATGAATATGATATTTACCGATGAAAAGCGCTTTGCTTTGATATGATGTAATATTCAATCCAGGAATTTTTTTTATGAAGTAACATTATTAGTTTTAACGATACTAGTTGAATATCAATTTTATATTGAAAATAATATTACGTGTGGATAAAATTTTAGGTATATACAATATATATTGTAACTAATGTTTCT